CCCCAAAACCCCAAAACCCCAAAACCCCAAAACCCCATCATGTCAATTTTCAAATAAAAATGAATAAACAATTATTAAGATTTGTTAATCAATCACATAATGTGAGATAAAAGTCTAAGAGATATGTTCAAAGCTATTTAGTTATTTGCTCTGTAATCTATGTTCATTTTTAAATTGTCACAACCTGTAAATATCAATCCATTTTTTTAATATTCTTTTTAATTTAATCAAGTAGCACCTCTTATTGACTACTATCAGTATTTTCACCTTTTAAAGTGTGAATTATCTCAGCAATCATAGAGTGATGACTTTGATATGTAAAATCAATGTGGCTATAGCCCTCAAATACTTTCAAATGAGCCAATTCTGGACTATGGTGTTTAAGAGCGTTATAATGCTCTATGATATCATCTGCTCTAATCAAAAAATCATTCATTGATATGAAGTAATGGATATCTATATCAATTAAATGATAATTTTCTAGATAATTTAACGGCTTATCTGAGCCATAGGCCAACTAATTCTTTTTTTTATCTCTATAATTATATGCCTAAAACTTATTCTCTTTATACAATGAGTAGTAAAAATGATCAACAAGTTCCATTGGGAAACCGAACAAAAGCATAGAAGTCAATAATTTAGCACTTTTACCAATTGGGGTATCACCAATTCCATTACCTCCCATTATTTTAGAAGTTAAATAAGAGACTAGATCATTTGAAGCTGGTAGTGATTTGATATCTTTATGAATTTTATTGGCACAGTCTATTACTACGTTAGGAAGAGCTAAATGGTCTATGAACTTTGGTACTATGTTGCAGAAAATCCATCCGAAGGTCTTAACAATCAGAGGAATCTGAGAATGAATTCCAGCTGGAGAAAGAAGTATTGCTTTGTTCAGGTAATGGGGACGATTTCTAAGTTTCTAATGAATCACATACATTGGGAGAGTCATACCTCCTAGAGAATGACCAATGTAAGTGATGGTAAGTTTTGAGTCAATATCCTTTGTAATTTCATCATCAGTCATGTCTGTCTTCTGGTAAAATTTCTCTCTTAACTCTTGATGTTTTATCTTGTGTATTTTTTCAAGGAATGCTGGAATATCATACTTGGCATAATGATCGATGTTATAATTCCAGTAGGTTTTTGGATCTTTCCAAGCAGCTAGCCTTCTTGGATAGATACCTCTAAAGTTTCCAAGAAAAACATCATATCCCTCTTCGTGAGATTGATATGCAATGCTATCAGATGGTCCATGGACTACCCATGTAAAACTATTGTCAAGTACTCCATGCTAGAAATACACAACTTTAAATGCATCACTATTGACTATTCTGTTCATATTGATAATGTAACCATCTTCAGTCTATTTATAAAGTTAAGATTGAAAATAGTCAGAATTCTTTAGAAAACCAAGACAAGTAATAACATACCTCAACTTCATAATTACTATTCGAGTAACCACTCTTAGTTATCATTTGATTGATAGTCCTCTTGTCAACATTGTGCCCTAGTAATCTCAATGAAGGCCAATAGTACTTATAGATGTGATCCTTCATGAAATTAGCAGTCTGAATTAAATGGTAACTCAAAAAATATCTTACATTCTATTTAATATACATAGGTAGCTGAGGAAGATTAATAAAGAACTTGTGCATAGTAAATGAAAAGAAAGCAATCATTGAATTCCTGACTACATCAAATATCTTTTTCTTATGCTTTTTAGAATGTCCTTAGTTATCCCTCACATCAGCAATCTCCCCTGATTTGAAGGTAAAAATATTCATGCCTTTTTTAGCTGCTATTCTCATAGTTAAAAAGAACTGGTCAAAGAACAGCTAGATGACAAGTTGAGAATCCTCAAGAAACCCATTAGTCAAATGATCTGGAGAAATGACTATCTCTGCTAGCAGTTTTTAATTTGAATCTTCCTGATTATCTTGTTTTTCTCCTTTGAATCAATCTAGAATATTCGTATATACGTGTTTGACTGGATCAATAACGTTCTTTCTTTTCTAAATCAAGTTGAATAAATCTGGAACCCAGAAAGAAGCAACAGCTAGTACTGATTTAATTGTTTTCCGGACAGATTTCAGAATGATGTCCCTTTTCCTTTCATTTTATTTATTTTGGATTTAATAGTTCTTAAAATAGTCTTTAACATACTTTGCTAGTTATTCTTAATTCTTGGTTTCCTCCACTTATTTCCTACTCTCATCAGGAGTGAATGAGATTCGATCTTATTTCTTTCCAGCCAAGTCACTAAGATTTTCAATCTATTTGGTTTCTTTATTGTCAGAGAGGTATTCATCGAAACTTTATTAGCTAAGTAGAGATCTTGAGAGATAAATTTCAAGTAATTTATCCTTTCTTAAAGACTTCTAATCCGGAGTTTGGGAGGTCCTTTTCCTTCTATCATCGCTACTCATTAGTCTATTGCGACGATTTACATAGTAAGAGTCATGATGAGGACTTTGAATGGCATGTAAAATGGCTGCACAAACACCATCTATAGTTTGACTTGAAATGTGAAAGATCTCTCTAACGAAACTCTTGCAATACTCATTGCTCGAATCAAATATCACATCTAAAGTGCTTCTTTTGTCATCATCTTTATTATATCTCTTTAGACTTTCCCATTCTTTTTATTCACCATCGTCTATACATGACTTGTATTTTATGTCAGAATTTGAAGTTTTATCGTCCTCGTAGTCAATATGATTATTGACGTTGCTTAAACTAGTATTACTCATAAAATATTATTTATTAATCTAACTGGATATTTTAAAGATTTATATTGCTTACTCACTACATCATTCAATGAGGACACATGGGGTTTTGGGGTTTTGGGGTTTTGGGG